TAAGACTCGTGTAACGTTGTTAACAGGTTGGTTAAGAGGCGATAATCGTTAAATGCCCTTTGCGGTACCAATGGTTTGGAGAGAACCGAGAGACCATACTACTGATTGCTATTTTTGCCTCACAAATCTTGGTATTGGACAAAAATCGAAACCTACTGTTAAGTACATATTTTAATTTACCATCAGCTTTGCGCCCGTTAAGTATACTCGTAGTGATGAACTTTCTGTCCCAGTTCCACCAGAATCTTGGTCTTTGGATGAAAAAGTCGAATCCACCGATTCTGAAAGTGATGGTACAGAAAGCGTAAAAACTGACGATCCTTCGTTTGACCTGCCAGGATGTTCAACAGCGCCGCATTTGATCACACAGGGCGAACTTAATGACTTAGTTCCAGAATTAAATCTGTCAAAATCCCAGTCAGAATTTTTAGCGTCACGATTAAAAGGATGGAATCTTCTCCACGGTGATGCTAACATTACTTTTTACCGAAAACGGCAACAAGACCTGACACACTGTTTCCGTTAAGAAAGGGAGTTGATAGGTATATTGCTCAGATGTCAACAATTTGTTTGACGCGTTAGGACAGAAACATGATCCAGATGATCGATTCCTCTAAGCTTAGTTTAAAAGCGGTACTGGTACATAACTGTAATAAATATCCATCTGTACCTATAGCGCACGCTGTTTATATGAAGGAATATGGATGGGTCATATGTGCAAATTTAAAGGTAATAGCACTTCTTCTTGGAATGCAACTGGGATATACCAAATATTGTTGTTTTTGTGGCCACTACGTCAGGTATTAACTCCGGGCATCAAAAACATTGCTCATGAACCACTAGTTGATCCCAAAAACGTGTTGCTTCCACTTTTCAATATTAAGTTGGGACTGATGAAAAATTTTGTGAAAGCTATGGATCGAAATGGAAGAGGGTTTCTGCATTTAAAACAAACATTTCCAAGACTTAGGGCCGATTTCACCAACATTATTATTATGGACCAATAGGAAAATACCTTATCCAAATGCAATTTGACGGAAGCTGTCAAAGGTCTCAGAATATCAGTGATTTCTATTAAAATGTTGAATAAAATCGTAAAAATTCGACTGTATTATAAACAAGACCACTTTTTGATTCCAACATGATGCTTTTGTACAGAAAAAACAGGACAACTTTCATGTATTTTGATATATGTTATAGGTTTACATTTAACAATCCGTTATCCCCTCAGCGAATGGGAATGGGAGAAATAGTAGGTCGATTTTCTAGCTGTTAAATTTGGCAGCAGGTTTGGTCGTTTGTTAATTCATGGCAATCTCGAAATTTGTTAAGCTCAATATACTGTTTATATTATGAGATCATTATAGCTACACATACCTGTTGAATTAGGCGGATTTGCAAGAAAATAGGATATAAAATGTATTCCAACCAATTCCTCATCTCTCTTTACATCATAATAGTAATCATTTGTTATAAATTCATGGGTTAATGAATATCTTCAAAGCAATCAAAACAATATGTCGTCCCCATCCTAAAACACCGATATGTGTAAAACATGTTAATCCCTACATCTCCGAGGTGCATAATGCAATTACTGTAGACATAGACCTAAAATTATTAGTAATTACTGAAAAATAATGTCGGGCTCATGCACGACTTAACGTAACCGAATTTAAGGATCAGCTGTTTCTACACCAGTGTCCTCCACGTGTTACGCCGCCAGATGGTAACTAGCTAGTGATTTCCAGTGGTGGTCAACGTTTTGGTGACATCACAGCCATTTTTTGACATGATTCGGGTGGTTTCGGAACTCGTCTTACCCTTGGATAGCCCTTTCTATACTGTTCTATGCAAAGAATTGACGTAATTATAATAATTCTGTGGTGTCATGTGTTCCACGACGATTTACGGTCAAAGCCAGGCGGTGAATCACCTGTTGTTTTTGTTTGAGTTGTTGACGAATTTGCGGTAGAGATTTGTTTTGGTGTTCGTCTTCGGGTGTGTTTTTCTGCCTTGGACTTGTTTTTTGTGCGATTAATTGAGGATGGCCATGCCTAGAGCCAAAAAAACGAGAGCCGCGCTGGTATCAACTCCTGACCGTGGTGAAGAGGTACCTGCAGAAGGCACCTGAATGCAATCGGACATCGGCAGAGGAGCGCTTAATGATGACGTCGTGTACACGTTAAATCTGCACGAACCCCTAAATACGTGGTTATGTTGAATGCAGCATCACCGATGGTGCGACTGATTATACTCTGAAATTAAAACAAAGAACTGCAACTGCAATTGTATGTATGAATGTTGAAACTGTTGAACAGTTTCGGACCAGTGGGTAAAATAAGGTTGAGGAACTGCAAAGAAGTGTATGAATGTGTTGAAATACAGCACCTAACAAAAATTTGAGTGAAAAGGCTTTTTCATGTAAGGGTTTGGAAGTGCAAGTTTGCAAATATTGGATAAACTATAAGCACACAGTAGGTGATATAATCACATATGGATTACAAAAGTTGCAGTAAACATGGAAAAACCTTCAGCTAATCTGAAAAAATAGATTTTACTCAGACATCAAGCATTTTTAAAAAATTTGGCTCAGTTTTACATAATTTCACAATATTTAATAAACTGAAGAGATTTCAATGGCAAGCTGTCACTTCATATTTTACAGTGTTTTGTTTTGAATACTTTGATGCTATTTGCTGCCGAAAATTTGACGGAGAGATCTTGAGGCTGATTGGGTATATTTAACGGACTGTTTGGTACTCGTACCCTATTGGTGCAGAATAATGGTTTGTTAAATTGTGAAATCCACCCTTAGAGGGCATATTTGTGGGTCCACAAATACGGAAAATAATGAAGGATGATGTATATGACAGTGCTCTAAATGAAACTGAATTACGAGTTTGGAATGCTTTTAAATCAGTTAATGCAAATTTTTTAGGCAATGTGAAGGCGGACAATTAAAAGATATTGTGAGTGAACTAATGAATGCTTATAAAGGAATGGGATGTAACATGTCTCTAAAAATTCACTTTTTGGATTCGCATCTCGATTTTTTTCCGGAAAATTTAGGTGAGGTAAGTTATGAACATAGTGAACTGTTCCACCAAGAAATTTCTGCTATGAAAAAACGGTATCAAGGCAAATGGATTGTCAATTTGCTTGCTGATTATTGCTGGACATTGCTGAGATACTTCAAGAGCAACATATCGCCGTAAAATATCGACAACAACATTCTGAGATTAATGTTTATTCGAGTGTTTATTAGTACTCTTGCACACATATCCTTATATTTTACGAGTATAAGCAGCAAACAAAATGCCTTATTGCAAGAAAACTGTGGGTGAAAATATAATGCTATTTCCGGCTCTTTGGGCACGTTTTACATAATAACCACCTTGTTTTGTCCATGTCGCCAAAAATTATTTTAGTTTTGTTCACCAGTGTAATCGATTTTAAGAGATAATAGTCAATGTTTGTCTTTATCTCTGATTTCCGATATTTCCGCTCCATAGGTACTAATGCTTTCTACAATAGTTTCATACATATATAGATCTCTTTATTTTGTTACTAATTTTCTTACTATAGAGGATCGAGTTTAGTTTAGTTTAGTTGCCTAATAACTAGTTTGCCTTGCCCTACTTCAATGACTGAAGTCTTCCAGTTGGCCAAAGAATTACACCTAGATACTTAGAAGAGGAATTTTTTTTTTTTTTTTGACACTAGGACATTGCGTCCCATTAGCCAGATCCAATCTTGTATTGTATATATCTAATTATGGACAAACACACGACCTCACAACATCCATGGCGAAGGCGAGATTCGAACTCGCGCCCGGCCGGCCGGCTGATCAGTAGCACTCTGACCCACGCGGCCAACCGAGGTCCCCCGAGAAGAGGAAGTGTGTTTGATAGTAAAGTTCCCAGCATTCAAGTCCTGCGGACCGTCAGTTAAATGTTAAAGATACCTTATTTTAAATCGGCTTAGAATTAGAAAAAATTCCTTTTTTTTATAGCGAAGCAGCCGCGTAGGCAGAAGCCTAAATATCGGAGCTCCACGACTGATATAAGGAGATTTAATACCACTTAATCTGATTTTTGAACAGCCTAAGGTTTTTAGAACTGGGAAAAGCCATCTCAGGTAGATTGTACCACAATTTCGAGACCCTAGCGACAAAGGAGCGGTCAGTTCTGGATGTACGAAGTTAGACACGGCTAGGATGGGAGGCCTATTGTGTCTGGCAGGCTCATCTAGCAGTGGCATCATGGAGGAGAGCAGTAAGGACCAAGCCCGTTGACCTAGTGGTAGAAGAGAGCCAGATCGCCGAAGGTTCGTCGTTGCGAAAGGGTCCCGAGACTGTCGGTTGGAGTAGTGTCATTGATCAGTCAGAGAGGCCTCCAGTCGAACATCAAAACAATGAAACGGCCGCACACAAAATGTAGTTGAGGACACATTCGAAACTATTTGTGATAATTGGAGTTATTGCCGATATCTGGAAGACGAGACCTTATCTGACTAATTGAAAAAATATCATGTACATACCCCTATTTCTGACATGTTTGTAACTAAATACAAGAAAGAGCACTATAAATTAAAATGCTTAAATACAGCTCAAATGACCACTACCGTACGAACATTGGGTCTCTGAAACTGATTAAAGTCATGGAGCAATCTACCTGTGGAGGCTTTTGCTAGTTCTACTAACCTTAGGCAGTTCAAAAATCGGGTTGACAAAGTTTCTTTAAGCTGCATATAGAAGCCGCAGAGCCCGGGTATTTAGGCTTCTGTCTGCGCGGCTGATGCGATGAAAAAAAGGAAAGATTTTTCAAAGATCGAAAATGCGCATGGAGGCTTGTTTGTTGTAGAGTAACCTTCCATTCTTGCTAGTATCTCAAAAATAGAACAAATCTGTTGTGAAGATTCAAAACCACGATGACATAAAAAACGAGACAAGTAAGAATACATATCAAAACCAATTCATAATACACTGAAGAGCCACTTACGTATTCTGGCTTTAATTTCTTATCAGCACCTCTGCCCACGGTCCTTTCTAGTTTTTCTAGATTCTTCATAAGGGTATCTTCATCTTTCAGCCTTAGTTCTTCAGCAATTATGTCCAAATCCCTAACTGGGTTCACCTCACCTTCTACATGCGTGACGTCATCATCTTCAAACGCTCCTGAAATAATGATACCCATCGATCAGATTGCGATAATTTTGAGTCAAATCGGTGTTTCTGAAAATGCAGGTATTGGACTATTTTTATTTTTGCCTTATATTTAATAGTCAGTACACACAAGCGTTAAATTGTCGCGCTGCAAATCGCGATTTACATCAATGTACTAAACGCGCGTGTTTCTGAAACGCACTTTGATTCTGACATTTGAAATGTTAGATAGTATCAATATACTTACGACATAAATGAAATATAGCATCACATGCGCTGATGTGTGAAAGAAATGCATTTCCTAGACCTTGACCTTCTGAAGCACCCTTTACCAGACCTGCGATGTCTACGACGTTCAAGAAAGCCGGAACTTTGCTGAAACGAAATTTTTTTGCTTATCTTTCAACAGCCTTAATTAATAATTGGGGCAAATCTTGCCCAATCTCACATGAGAGTAAAGGAGGTCTCGGCAAATATCACGCATTTTTTACCCGCAAAAAACAGTGTAAAATTGAGATTATTAAAGTTCTGTTTTCCAACCGCAAGTTAACTTCCAAGTTGGGCAACTACTACTTGGAGGTTAACTGCCATGGAATTCGTTTCACAAGTCCGGGTTAATCAACATATCACCGTTGATGTGGCAACGCTGCATCTACGTATGAAATATATGAGGCACATAGAATAATAATGGTCCAAATCCAGTCTTTTGGAAGTTCGCGCCATTCACATAAAGGGTATTATCAATCTACCTAGATCTATAAGTATAAAGCTTGTCTAACTCACTGTCTGTTTCAGTCTCCAGTCAATAGATGGCGCCATCATACTCTTATTCTGATTTTTTGAATTCAATATGGTTCACTGTAAAATGGTATAATCATGCATTAAGGGCAATACTGGAACATCTGAGGAGTTGACTATTATTATGCTATGTGCCTCATATTTTATGCCCTGTGCGTTTCGTGATGCTCGATAATAGTGTCTCGTGTCATCCATGACAACTCAAGTCACTGTCTCAAAACTAACTAACTTGGCAGTCTACGCTTAGTTGCCTGTGAGTTCGGTTTTCAAGTTCTCGTGAACAATCTATAAACCGTTGATGCAGCGACGCCGCTTTCATGGCGGAATTGTGGTGTTCTATACATTTCGTGATGGTCGATATTTGTGTCTCGCGTGATACATGACAACTTTGTCATTGTCAAGCACATTAGGTTAAAGATTGCGGTTTAACCATAACTTTATAGTTATCCCATACATGGTCCTTTAGTTGAAGTTAACTACTACTTTAGGACAAACTTGATATTGAAAAACGCTTTTTGAGACTTAACTTCTGGTTAGCAGTCATGTTGCAGTTATAAAATCCAGGCCTTAGCCACAATTTGTATTTATAAAATAAGCAGACAGTTTCTCCCCATTACCCACAAGCTTTTAGAGAAAGGGGAATATAAAATATTAAAATTATAAGCGATCTAGTGGGAAATTTCTGAAAATTATAAAAAAATAACAAATCCACTTTTTTAGACAATATACTTCTTATTGTATAAAAAAGGATCAATCATATTTGGTTTGTATTTTTTCGCTTGTATCCGCCAGGAGCGGTTTCACGTTTAATGGTTCAGCAGTAGTACGCCAGCATGTTTGGGGTCCATTTTCCAGTATAACGGTTCTCCATCTGAGCAATTTGCTGGTGAAATCTTTCGCCGTGCTCGTCTGAAACTGCACCCACGTTATCAGGGAAGAATTCAAAATAGGAGTGAAGAAAATGCAGCTTAAGTGACAGATTGCAACTTAAGGCTCTATAAGATTGGATAAGTTCTTCAACTAGATCTTTGTAGTTGTCCGACTTTTTGTTTCCCAGGAAGTTGCTACATACATTTTTGAGGCATCCCATACCCTTTTTTTCTTTCTCGAAAGTGTAGTTTTAAAATTTTGGTCCTTAAAAAGTTCTCGTATTTGAGGTCCAAATAACATTCCTTCTTTAAGCATTACTTTACTTATACGCGGGAATTTCCGTCTCAAATAAAGGAATGCATTAATTTCCTTCTATGCCTAAGGCTTGCACGAAAATTTTTATAAGCCCCAGTTTTATGTGCAGATGAGGTAAATAAACCTGCTGATCTAATAAGGGTTCACTTTTGGTTTCTGGCTCTGCTGCTCCATTCTCATAAAAAAACAACAATCATTTGTGAATCCACTCTGCAGTCCTGAGAGCAATGCACTGCCTTTGAAATCGCCATAGATATTCTACTTATGATCTTCGTATTTTATGCTTTGGAGTAATATGCGCATGTTCTGGTATGTTTCTTTCATATTTACAGCAATACCAACGGAAACTGATGGCCATTCGTTTCCATTGAACAACAAAATTTCCTTTAAGACTTGTGTTTGAAGAGTCAATAAATAGTTGCCACTAGGTAGGTACATAGGAAATGCCAAGTTCATTCAGAAAACCTGGAATATCATGATAGTAAACTAAGTCATTTTTTATCGAGAAAAATACGGCCAGCATAGACTGCCTGTTCCGAAACGTGAAAATGTTCACACATGTTTGTAAAAGGTTCCAGTGCTGCAAACCAAGTAATTGTGCTTTTCTTTTGGGAAGATTTAAATCACGAACTAGATCATTGGGCTCTTCCTGAGATATAAAATGTGGTTGTTTGCTGCTACTACATTCGATACCGACTTCCTCTTCATAACTTGGACCGGCTTCTGGCTCATCTCTGTCAGAATTATCTGGTTAATCATATTTCTTTGGAGGCTTAGAAACAGGTAAGCTAGAAGAGTCATGAGATACAGGTCTACTGGCTGAGGGGCTATTAGGATACACTATTTTATGCTTGCTTTTACTAGAAAAATACAGAATTTTTGTTAAGCAAATCATTGCATCATAGAAGTGTGAGTACCCCGTAGCCATCCTGCTAAGGTTCTTGAGCAAGTGCGGCACCATGTTTTGGGAGCCCAAGTTTTGTATTGATCGGCAACTTTGAACTCGAAATATAGCTCGTAGGCTTTTCTTACAAGTGGACTCAAGGTCTTTTGCTAAGCTTTCAGTATCACATCACCACAAATATAACTGAAACTATTCGGATGGTTCACACAGGATCGCAACGGCATTGCTTCGCTCATATATCCACTGCTGAGTACTGTAATGCTGATCCTCCGATAAGCGGCTGGCTGCTTATATACCCATTTAGAATATCTGGTATTTTTTCTAGAAACAGCGGGAATCAAGAGATCGGAAACGACTTTTGGATACAGGGGCCATTCAATAAGTAACTGTCCGACGACTATAGGGTACGGTGAAATCTGGAATTACATGGGGTTCAATGGGTCTCTCCTTTATTTGGAGCCCAAGGGGGTTGAGACTCCGTAGATGAGGGACATTCCACTCCCTATGCGGTGTTGCCAAATTGTACATAATTTCCCTAGACTAGGAGAAAACGTAGACTTGGCAACGTCGTACCCCATTATGTTATAGAAAGATAAATATCGCACAGGTACGTATTTTTAAACAAACTTAAAGCATGTTGTTGGTACTATCTGGACTCCGTTACGTGATACGACAATTTAAAGGTCGGTGTAAAGGTTAAATACGTAGAACTTATCGATCGTATTTGATTGGCGGGGAGGATTTTCGTGCAAAACAGTATAATTTATGAAAATAAGCTCCATCTACCACTAGAATCGACCACTGCGAAACAGGACATTGCAGCTTACCGGTTGGGACTGTACAGATCTCAGTCCGCGAATTGCAGGCCCAGTCATCACGTGACCGCTAAATAGCGACGGTTCTAGCAGTGTAGAAGATGTGGTCTACTTATCATTTCATGTTATTTTCATATTCATATTTCATATTTATTTATTCATTCATGATAAGTTACAAAAAGTATTTACACAGGTCAGGTACAAGCAACCAAAAATACATATATATATATATATATAGAGAATATGATCATGCGGAGAAAGGTATATAACAACAAGTGGGAAAATAATGGGCAAAATCCGCAAAAAGGAGGAAAGTGGATTCGAGCAGAAAATAGGATAGGTAACCCGAGCGATACGTATTTCTGCTGGTTGGCTTCATCAGGCCCGAAATGAATGCACATATGAAACTACAAAAGTAGATACACATGCCCACACATCCGGATACGGGTGTAACCTGAGGAAACGAAGTTGGAGGAAAAAAAACGACACACGAAGTCCACAACAAGAGCCAACCTACACATTGTAGTGTAAAATGGCTATACGACCTCGAATTTTCAAGGAGACGTCTAACCACCACCACGCGGCCGGTTATAGCCACCTGCTGTGGTACTTCAAGCCCAAAGGATCTACAAAGAGAATATGATCATGCGGAGAAAGGTATATAACAACAAGTGGGAAAATAATGGGCAAAATCCGCAAAAAGGAGGAAAGTGGATTCGAGCAGAAAATAGGATAGGTAACCCGAGCGATACGTATTTCTGCTGGTTGGCTTCATCAGGCCCGAAATGAATGCACATATGAAACTACAAAAGTAGATACACGTTTCCTCAGGTTACACCCGTATCCGGATGTGTGGGCATGTGTATCTACTTTTGTAGTTTCATATGTGCATTCATTTCGGGCCTGATGAAGCCAACCAGCAGAAATACGTATCGCTCGGGTTACCTATCCTATTTTCTGCTCGAATCCACTTTCCTCCTTTTTGCGGATTTTGCCCATTATTTTCCCACTTGTTGTTATATACCTTTCTCCGCATGATCATATTCTCTTTGTAGATCCTTTGGGCTTGAAGTACCACAGCAGGTGGCTATAACCGGCCGCGTGGTGGTGGTTAGACGTCTCCTTGAAAATTCGAGGTCGTATAGCCATTTTACACTACAATGTGTAGGTTGGCTCTTGTTGTGGACTTCGTGTGTCGTTTTTTTTTTTTCCTCCAACTTCGTTTCCTCAGGTTACACCCGTATCCGGATGTGTGGGCATGTGTATCTACTTTTGTAGTTTCATATGTGCATTCATTTCGGGCCTGATGAAGCCAACCAGCAGAAATACGTATCGCTCGGGTTACCTATCCTATTTTCTGCTCGAATCCACTTTCCTCCTTTTTGCGGATTTTGCCCATTATTTTCCCACTTGTTGTTATATATATATATATATATATATATATATATATGTATCTCAAAAAAATGACGTCAAGTAGATTGACTATATACTGTTTACGGCTTTGTTGGAGGTTTCGAAGAAAAGGGATGAGTCAAATGGTTTCAAAAGGCGAAATCGAATCGTGATTAGGTAGGTACAATTCGCGAACTGAAATCTACACTGTCCCAACCGGTTTCGCAGTAGTCGATTCTCGTGGTAAATGGCGCTTCGCGCTGACTTATTTCGAAAGATCA